GCGATGATGGACGGCCCGCGGGACGAGTTAATACCGGCGGCGCGAATGCGTGCAACAGAGGACTTGTTGTACAACGTGAGACGACGTCCAGACTGCGGGGTGCTCCCATGTTCTGCAGACGGCTCCTTTGTGTCCAGCAGAGCGCTGCCGCCGGTCGAAGACAGGCCTAAAGAGGACGAGCACGAAGACACGCGGCAATAGTATAACAATATAATGTCATATGTTGGCAAATTATATATACATATATATGAAATAGGCCACAAAAGGTGCGACTTGACGGCCTCATGCAGATGTCTTGGGGTCCACCAACAGGTCATCGCGCGGAGCTGGCAATCACCGTGAACAGCTGTGAAAAATGGCGACCAGCGCCCACTTCTCCACGCCCTTATTGCCAACGCACATGCGGGGCCCGTATCGCCCAATAAATCTCTAATCCCTCCTTCGTAAACCGCGCCAACGCCTTAGCCCGAACGACCTGGAATAGCAACGAAACGCATGGCTACCACACAATTACCCCCTAATGAGTGAACGACAGAAACAGGCGCCATTTTCTATGGATAACTGGTAGGAACAAGGTCCCCTAGGGACGGAAATTAAAACGCTTTGGTATATAAATACCATATTTCACGCGCTTAAGGATGGAAGATACATCATTATACGTTCTTAGAGTTTTGGGCCCGTTAATTTATAACTTAAGTATTTCTGGCTGGTCTGAAAAAAATTGACTAATTCACTGCGGTTGAATGCAAATTCAAACAATTCGGGAAATGCAGCAACTGCTTTTTGATGTTGTAAAGAGGTCGGCACTGGAACCCATTTCAGGGCAAACATTTTTCAGCTGAGTGAATTTAGCATTCCCAGTGATCCGATAAAATCGACAAAATGATTCCTACTTAATTGATTTACGTAGTAAAAAAGTTCGACACAGGAGACTGATTGATGGCTCTCGAGATTTGGCGCCTGTAACAACTGCCATCGCTCAAATCTAGAAAGAGCACTGAAAAGGGCGAATCGCGTCAAAGCAAACACAAAGCTTGTTAAACCGAGTACGGGTAGGCGGTTGATCGGAAAGAAGGTAGACATAGGGATACGTCAACATCGCTAGAGTGAAACGATGACAAACAGACATACCTTTCCACCCCAACGTCTGCGGGGTGTTTGATCGACCGTCCCAGAAGTCATTTAGCTAAAATAAGGAGAAGAACGCAGAATCGTCTAGAGAGAGGATGTAAACATGTAAAGCGTCGAACAAAAGTATCTATTTAAAAGCAGGCAAAGGAAATCGGAAAACTGTTAGACAATGCGCAAGGCGGACACACATTAGTCGGAAAAACGCCGGGCTCCTACGTTTAATGTTAATCGAAGAAAAAAAGGCATAGTGACAATTGCATGATTAGTCCCCGGTGGCGAAAGATCTACTGACAATAAATAGGGACTGATGTCGTCACTTCTGAAATCAAGCTAGAGAGGCGAGCGCTGCGGCTACTAAATAAGCTGTACTGGCCAAAGATCTGACCACTAAGCGAAACAATGCCGAATACTCATGAAGTTCCCAATAAGTTGAAATTTGAACACACCGAAAGTCGATGAACGCGTCTTTGACTCCTGTTCGCTGATCTAAACTTGCTCAGCGTGAACGCAACAAAATTCATAACTATTGCGATCCCCTAACATCTGGTATTTCTCAGACTGTCTTATTGATTGTAGGCGGTCACCATACGCCGTTTAGCCCGTCCGCCACAAGAAGCAAAGCCATGCACCA